ATTCTCTCTCACTGGAACATGATTCCTTAATTCCACCTTTCTCATCATCTCCAGAACCACACACCTTGGTCCATGCCACCATCTTTTGTACCTGGGATATTGCCACATCTCCTCACAGGTCTCCTGCTTGCCTACTATCATCCCTTCACCCCCTCAGTAGCCAGACTGGTATTTTAAAAAGATGTCAGACCATTTCTTCTCAGCATAAGGTTCCGGTGGCCTTCTGCATACTCCAAACTTCTCATCCTAGCCCACCAGCCCCCCAATATCTGGGCCAGCTCCTCTGCAAACTCAGCCTCAGTCATGTTCCTCTCCTCACCTCCCACCAGCTCACTGGTGTTGCTACTTACTTGACCACCAAGCAGACTCTTATCTCAGGGCCTTTTTCACCTGTCTCCTCTCCTTGGAATGCTACTCAAAGATCCCTCTCTCACTTCTTTATGGATGCTGTTCAGCTATCACTTCCTGAGAAAGACATTCTCTTCACCACCAAATGAAATCTCAGACCCTCGTTTCTAAATCTTTCTATTCTCTTCATTTGTCTAATATTTCATCCTAGAACACACATTGTGTCTAATCAACTGCTTTGTTATTTTTGACCTGTCTCCCTCACCAACACACGTGCTTCAAGAAAGTGCAGAATATTGTCTTGATCACTGTTATGTCCTTAGTGCCTAGGAAAACGACAGGCAGACTGTATTCTTGTCATAAATCCCTGTTGAGTCAACTGAGGAGTTAGTTTTTCCCATGAGGAAACAGAGGCTTGGGAGTTTATGACTTTCCCACCGGGAGGCAATATGTAACAACTCAGAGTACAATATTATAATTAAAAAATAACCGAGACCATTCCATTTTAACTAGTTGCTCTTTGTTAAGTGGTAGTATTTGCCAGACATTGTCATTTCCCTCCTCTTCCAACCTCTGAGTTTTTATTTCCAGTTTATAGATGAGGAAAATGGGGTCAGAGAGGTTAACTGACTTGTTAAAGTCACACAGCTAGTCCATTGATAGGATCCAGGGCTGTGAATTCCAAAGCTCACACTTTATCTTGAGTAATTCTTGTCACCATATCACACTTCCTCCTACAGGCACAAGGGAGCTCTGGAGGAAAGTGGACATTTGCTACAATGTTCTGCTGAGTATCTATTCTATCTTTCTCTTGAAATTATGTATTAATTTTCCTTGTTGGTAACTCCTAACCACCATCTAACCCCAGCTGATGAACACATCA